ACCTCGTAGTTACAGCGGGCATACAGACCACCTCGTAGGCTCTATATGTACAGAGGAATAGAGAGCATCCACAGCTATTATCTTACTATTACTATTAATAAAATAACACATTACTATTACATAACTGAAAAACTCACAGTAGCTGTGTTTGTGTCTTGTATTATTTTAGGTTTTTCTTTCTATTTGAATTTCTTCACCACCAGCGCATAAATACATCAATCCACCCAAGTTCCATAACCTCTTACCCAGTATAGTTTCACGTTAAGGCCAGTACCCAAGGTCCCAGAAAAAAAGCGGACGGCAGATAGCAGACACACCAGTTTGTGCCAGTCTGTAGGAATTAACCTGCCAGAACTGCATGTTTTTGGGTCTTGGAGGAAACTGAAGTATCCCATGAAAAACGAAAAACAGAAAAAATGTCAAAACCCAGGACTCATGAGGCCACAGTTCTATTCATAACATAACCCAAACTGTTTAAAAAAAAAAAAAACTTATTTTTTCAGCTTATTTGTTGTCAGAACTTTGCAGTGGTTACTCTTTTTTTGTTAAAGTGATCTCCTTCAGATCTAAGCCAAAACAACTCTAAGGTAATTTATTTTTATAGACAGTTTTGTAGTTGTCAAAGGAATTTATTGCTCAATAATGCCATCTGCTGTCTGCACGTAAATTAACAATGGATGCTATTAATTCTATTGCAGCACCTTGCACAGTTAATCCGTGATAAATACGTTAGACTAGAGAACTTCAAGCTTCTCAAGACGACGTGCATTAAGCAATAAAGACTGAAAACACAAACACAATCAGAAAGTGTAAATCGCTAACACTTTACCAGAGAGGGCACAGTACAATATTACACTCTGACTTAATGCAGTAATCCAAAACTAAGTGTGTTACATGCTGCTCCCATATTTGTTCAGTATTAGTCAGTTATAACAGTTTATGTATTTCATGCGGTTGCTATATTTGTTCATGATATTTGTTCTTTAGTAGTTAATGATGAGTTACTAAAGCTAAGTTTGCGGTATACGATTTTAGCCCAGATTTGCCGTTTGCTAACAGTTGTAGATCGCCGACAAAACGCCCAGATCGGGGGCAGCTCGACGCTCCATCGTTAGTTACTTGCGCCCCCTCAAGTAAAGTGTTACCTGTAAATGTTTTAACCAGGGATGGACATAACTGGTACGCAAGTACGCACCTTTATAAACGATATGTGCGATAATCGATTGTGGTAACAGAGTAAATGCGTATTTATTTTATGTGCATTTGCGCTGATATGAAAACAAAATATAATGCATTTTAATCATTACATGCTAGCTCTACTTTATTTGCGGTATACAGGTTAAAATGCATTATATTTAGTCTTCATATCAGCTCAAATGCACATAAAATAAGTTCGCATTTGCGCTTTTACAAACAATCGATTATCGCACGAATCGTTTTTAAAGTTGCGTACTTGCGTACCTGTTACGTCCATCCCTGGTTATAACGCAGCTGCTTAATGGGGATCCTGCAGTGCGCTACAGCAGGAATACCTTGCAGTGCACATGAAATGGTTCAGTACGTGTTAAGGACACTACAAACAAAATTCAAATAGCAGGTCTACTTAAATGTAAGACATTTTGAAAAGTCAGGCAGTTATACTAATAAATATTAAACTGAATGGATTTAAGTGTGCAAATAACATAAACAGCAAGGTGAATTTTATTTTTTTCTTTGTTTATTCACTGAAGCTGTATGATTTGGTGTGGTTCCCAATTGGTTAATTAAATTATAATTACACTATAATTATTTCAGGTTTAGATCAGCTGATACGTGAAAGGTTAAACTGAGACCAAAAGAAATTTCTAGCGTGCATTTAAGTAAAACATGGTATCCAAAAATAATTCTTCCTCTAATCAGAGTCATTCTTATGTTTAAAAGCTTTACTGCAAAGGTGCAAGTCATTAAAACATTATTAACTTGTGCATTTCACTGACATGTAAATCAACTTGCCTTAATTCCTTTGAACTCATTCACCAGTCTTTATAAATTGTTATTAATCATAATTAAGATTAATGCAGCACTCAGTTCTGGAAAACTACTAATTACTCATTAATTGCTCAGAGATTGCAGTCATTTTAATTATTTTATTACCTCAAAAATTGACTTATTTGTATGGTGAAATGTCTAGTGAAAAAGACAAGGGGAAAAAATGTTAATGAATAGATAAAAACAAGAATACTGTTGTGACTGCAGACAAAAACAAAAGCATTAACTAAGTACTCTTGCAGCTTAGCTTGCATGGTTGATTGGAGTCTGCAGCAGGTGTTTGTAATCATTAAGAGCACAGGGATCAACAGGCACACATATCTATGAATGTTTGGCTAGTGAGTCTGGCTGCTTGTAGGGGTGGGTGTGTTGTGAAGTAGTGTCACTATGCTAAGGGGAATGAGAGAGTTTCTGATGCTCGTTGTTTTTTTAGCATTCTGTTTTAATGTCTGTGCGTTAAATCTATCCCCGTATGTGTATGCACTTTTCTCTGACGATGACTCTGTAAGCAGAAATCATAGTGATGACTGGAAGAATTTCATGATGATGCAGAGTGACCAGCAAGGTTTTGCACGTGAGAGTGACCGGCAGGGTTTTGCACGTGAGAGTGACCGGCAGGGTTTTGCGCGTGAGAGTGGGAAGCAGGATTTTGCGCGTGAGAGTGGGAAGCAGGATTTTGCGCGTGAGAGTGGGAAGCAGGATTTTGCGCGTGAGANGCGTGAGAGTGGGAAGCAGGATTTTGCGCGTGAGAGTGGGAAGCAGGATTTTGCGCGTGAGAGTGGGAAGCAGGATTTTGCGCGTGAGAGTGGGAGGCAGGATTTTGCGCGTGAGAGTGGGAGGCAGGATTTTGCGCGTGAGAAAGGGAGGCAGGATTTTGCGCGTGAGAAAGGGAGGCAGGATTTTGCGCGTGAGAAAGGGAGGCAGGATTTTGCACGTGAGAGAACATCAGTCAGATGGTCACCCCTGAATCTTCCTGTCTCCATGCCAGCTGTGGGTTCAATGGTGTTGCCGATAGATGTTTTCAAGCCGGCACTAGGTAGCAGGCTGTTGCCAGACATGGTGAAGAATATCTTGCGTCCCCCACCGCTGCCAACTCCAACCACTCAAAAAATGGTGGAAGTCCAGTGTCGAGCTGGAAGGATAGTTGTCCGGGTCCTAAGAGAGCTGTTTGGTTTGCCCAACGCACAGCAGGACCTTTCTCTTGGGACATGCCAGGTCAACAAGGTCACTCCTCTGCACTTCTACTTTGATTATAGTCTTGGGAGTTGCAAAACAATGAGGAAGGTAAGTGTCTTCCCTATCAGTAGGCCTTAATGTTGAAGCATATTTGTGTGCTGGTCTGATGTCTTGTGATTCCTTTAGTCCTTTAACGACCGCATGGAATACTCAAATACCCTCTCTTATGCTCCTGCGTTCTCTGGACCAGTTGTGAGGGCTTTGCCGTTCAGAATTCCCCTTCAGTGTATATACTACAGGTGAGTGTAGTGTGGAGCGTTTTGGGAGTATTCCTCCCCTTCCCCCTAACTCCTGCCCTCTGTTCAGGTTTTTCAACTCTTACAAGGCTGGTTACCGTACCTGTCCTAAAGGAACCACTGAGTTCAAGTCCCTTAATATGCCATCTGGCATCACGCTCACTTCCTTAAATGGTAAGCTTAGTTGATATTTCAGACTGGGGGGGGGAAGGGGGAATCCTTGGAATAACTTCCAAATACCCTAGATGACTGGATGAAGAATGACGTCTACCTGCTTGGCCAACCGATGAACTTTGAGGTTAAAGTTCCCCAGAAGACCAGGAATGAGCGAGTCTACGTCAACAAGTGTTATGTCACCAAGTCCGCCAACCCTACGTCAACACCACGCTTCGCAGTAATCGACAATTATGGGTAAGCTGGACTCCCTTGGCATGTTGCATTCTGTCACTGTTTGAGGTAACTCCCTTCTGTTGCTTTTAGATGCATGCTGGATAGCGTGAAGAACCCTCAGTCTAAATTTGTCCCTGATGCAAGGCAAAATAAAATCAGGTTCAAAATTTGGGCATTCGTTTTTCCAGAGACGAGAACTCAAGTGACACAGGTTAGTTATGTCAAACCGTTTTGTTACTTTGCATCTGCATGCAAATTCTCATGTAAGGGTCGTTCTCTATTTGAAGTGGGGGAAATATTTGATACCTCAAGTCTGCATGCACATTTGCAACTGTCATTAACATTTATTGGAGGGAGGGGTTCCCTCTCCCCATGCAAAAGGCTTGTCACGCAACAAAATTTCAACATTTGAGAAGGTGTTTTTAATGAAACGGTATTAAGTGTTGTAATTTGCTGAATTTTGTTTCTTGGGTAATGCGTAACTAGAATGAAATGGTCTAAGCATCTTTCTTAAACTGTCATTAAATACAAACTCCTTGAAAATGAGGACATAAATACCTTGTGATAACACCAGTGGCATCTTGCATTACAACATATTTGTAATTACGCCTAATTACAATTAGTGTATAATAGTTTCCAGAAAAAAGGGTAAATTGTACCCTTGCTTGTCACTGGGGCTGTACCCTTAAGGGTCTGCCAATTGTACCCTTAGCTGTAGGTAATTTGTACATAAATGGACTCTGAGGAACATTTCTGCTCCATTAATGCTGTTTGTACATTCAGAATGTTCCTCAGAATCCATTTCTGTACCTTAAAAAGGGTACAATTACAAGAGTACAGCCCTAGTGACGAGCAAAGGTGCCCTTTGCAATTATTTTTCCCTCCTTCTGAATGTTATGGATTTTAAGACATTAAGATGGTTTACCTTTGGAGATTATTATAAAACTGATTATTTAAATGTATTTCCTACTCCAAATGAAGAAGGACCTATACATTGCTCTTCTCCTAGAAGCTCTTCATGCACTGTGAAACTGCCATTGGAGGACCAGTTGCAACTCCTAGTGCAAAGGCTTGTACCTTTGATGGTCAAAGGTAAGCTGGGTATATTGTGGATGGCTGGGGGGGGGGGACGCGGTGATTGCTTTGACCTAGTCTGTTATGGCTTTAGGTGGAAGGAGCTGTTTGGTGCAGATGATGCCTGTTCCTGCTGTTCCTCCAAATGTCCAGCAGGCCTGAAAACTAGTGAGTACATGGTGGACAGGATTGTCAGCACCAGTGTATTTGAACCCTAATGTGACTCCTTCCTCTAGGTGCTATGAAGATCATTAGCAGTGAGCCTTTGTCTATAACTAAAGATGGACAGGGTTCACCTGCAGCTGGGAATTTCCGTAACGTTAAAGGTCAAGCGGTTTCCCCGACTCAAAAGATGTTTGAAGATATCTGGAACTTCAGTGACTGAGGCACTTGGAACAAGTCATGATACCAGCATGTCTATGGAATATGACTTAAATGGAAATTTAATAAATTTTAAAATGCCTTGGGGTTCCCCCTAATGTCTAATCCACGTTTTGTTTGACAATTTCTGATTTTTTGGCCTAATGCTTCCATGCTAGCTTGAAGTCGGCTGCCAAAACTTCAGCTAAAGGCCTGTTGAACCTCAGCAGGACTTTGCCAAATTGGGGGTTGGATAAACTGGTTGAATTCTGGCCTACCACTATCCTTTCTCAATGTTTGCTTAGTCCAACTATCCTCCTCCTGAACAGGCGTTTCAATTTCCAATACCCATTCATTTAGATCAAATGTAACCTTTTAATCTAAACTGGTGTCTGCTTCAATGTTAAGGCAGAAAATTTAACTGACCTTTGAGGCTGTGGACGGACAGTCTCTTTACCCTCAAATGGCTGCTGTGTATGCAGGTTTTTGGGGTAACATTTACATCAGCTGCTCAATCCCAGGTGTGAGGACTCTTCAGCCAATAGTCCTCTAAGTAGTAATCTGGTTAGGGAGTTGCAGCAAAAACCCACATATCCAACGGCTTCATAATGGTTTCATAATGTCGTAATTCATTTTGGGTAGAGGAATCTGGTACAAGACTGCTACTTGCTTACTAAACATCACTGTCAAAACTACAGGAGTCCATCACTAGTTCTCAATGCCAAATACTTCAGGTACAAAAGTTAGTGAAAGCTGTTCAACTTTTAATGTCTCTGGGTCAATCAGTTGCCTTTGCTGAGGACCTATTTTATCTACTTCAGCCAATAGTGTAATTTTATGGGCAGCTGGGAATAATTCTTATATGAAGCCTCATAAAGAATAGAGCCGGATCTCACCGTTCTTTCAAGCTGGGAGACGTTTAATCCTCTGTATAATAGTTACCAGAAGACCAAAATGGCTGACAGAACCTTCACATGTTCATGCAGTTATAATTTATAATCTTGAACCTTTTTTCTGCTGGTAAAGGTGACCGTGCTGTGGTAATACATGGTGTTTTACCCCGGATGGAACTGTAGTAAAATTCAAAGTGTTTTATTTCTGGATACTGTGACCTCTGAACCCTGTGCTGCTGCAGATACTGAATTGCAACCGTATCACGATGTTTGTAGGAACAGGCAGGCGTACCTATTAAACTGGAAATTAAGTGTATTTTATCATGCATTAGTATAAAGCACATTATTTTAATACCCATGACAAGAAGTATCTTAATGTGAGTGTAGATTAGCCAGAGTGGTTTATGTCTGTCTAGGTTACATTTGTAGTAACTGTGAATGTCAATTCATATGACTGGTTTTATTTAATTAATCTTTTTACTGGACCTTTGGTATTCTGGGCCCCAAAACACAAGTCAAAACTGTGAAGTGTGTAAGAAAATTTCATTTAAAAAGGTACATGTCACTACTTTTCTTATCCTGTTTTATAGGAAACATAATTATATTCTATTTAGCAATTAGGTGTTAAAATATGTATTGATGACTCATTTACAAAGATTGCTTTCAGCTGACACTATTTTGCTTAATGGTTAAATTGAGTCATGAGTTTATTTTTCTGATACATATAGCAAATTGGGGAATGCTGACATCAAGATTAAATCTTATGGAAATAACCATTTGCTAAAGATTAACTTTAGCAAACCAGAGCAACAGTGACATAAAACCAAAGAGAGACATTTACTGTTCACACGCTGTATGTCATGATTTACTGTGTGCAATTATTATTTTACCATGTGCTAATTTCTGCTAGCACATCTGTGATGGTCACCATGTTATGCAGGTATCAAGTGCTAACGGAATTAGCATTCGCTTGTGACAATTTGCATTACTGTCCATTCCATTCAGTTGTTCTATAGTACTTTGAGGTTCTGAGTTATTGGGAATGTATTAAGTGGCCAAATAACTGCACACAGGGCCCTGGGGCAAAAATGAATCATGCCCCACCTTTCCAAATTCACACCTAGGCCCTGTCTACACCAGTTGCAGCAGTTGCAGGTCATGAAATTTCAGTAGTTTCCAAATATCGTACCCATCATGCATTGCAGTATTTAGTAAATTCCACAAATGTGCTTTTTTTCATTAAATACATGCCTTGACAACAGAGTTTGACTACAAAACATTACAAACTATTACATTTCCAAATAGTTTTAAGTATTGTACCAAATATTTTTCTATTATGACTACCACCATAATGAGATTTTATATCTATCATTTTTATCTATACATTGTAGCATGTCCCAACCATGTACAAAATGCATGATACCAGTGCTTTAATCCTTAGCTCACGGCGGGGGGCAGGTCCTAGGGCAGCTGCCCTAGCCTACTGGTTTGCCTCTGGATGTATTAATACATCTCGATGTTTGATACTATTAATAATATATAGAATATAGAATATAGAGAATTTTTTCCTTCAGGTAATTCATGTGTATTAATGCTGATCACCAGTATTTCCATGCATTTCGACCAATCAGATGGTGGTGACATAACCAGCAGGGCAATGTCAGCATGGGTACGAATCGGGGTATGAATTGGGTACGGCTTGCACACTTTGCAAAGCAAAACCACCAGTTTGCGGTATGGGTTGGGTACGACTAGGTTCTTGGTGGCAGTGGAAAAGCACCATAAGACTCTGGGGGTGTAATTATAGCAGAACACAACTTCCTGGAGTTAAAGAAAGGAAATCTGGTGGGGGAAAGTTGCAAAAAAAGAGAAACAAAGCAAAATGTCAAATGTATGCAGTTGCTTCCTGTTCAACACCATCTGAACAGAGAGACATAGTGACAGGCCTGGCAGCCAATTACCTGGGCCCCAAGGGCAGTCCATTACCTCGCACTTCGCAACAACAAATCTGCTTTATTTGTGTGCCTTGTTTTTCACAAAAAGTGAAATGAAAGTGCCTTTATTCAATCTTCTTTGCTGATATTATTCATTTCAAATTCGCTCTAAAATAATGGTAATAAATTTTACCAGGTCGGGGGAAGGTAAATTGGAGTTTTTCGCCAAAAGCCCCACAGTCCCTCAAATCTCCTGTCAACACACCCGGTAAATAAACTTGAAAAATTGTATTTCTTATAAAAAAAAAATTAAGAGCATAACAATTGAATGTCAGTGGGATTTCCTTTTAAGTGAGTCATGTTATCCGTTTTTTTTCCCCTCTAGATTTAGGTGCATTGTTACATTCCATTGAAGGCTTTACCTCCTCTGTGAGCACTTATTTTTCCTTAGATGGAACCTACGCCGTTATGACGACGCAGTCCTTTCATTTTGTAGCCCTTTTCAAACACTTAATCATGGGTTCCAAAAAACATTTGCAGTGAGGTTATTCCCGATAATGAAGCAGCGTGTGGCTCAGCAGGCTACGCCTCTGTGCCTGAGATCGGACGGCCCCCGGCTTGAGCTCCGCCTCAGCAGAACAGCCACATGTCTATGGACTTGCAAGGCCCTTAACCCCCAGCTCCATGGTGGCTGCCCTTCACTGTGCCATGGAGAGCGAGATGGGGTCGGCAAAAAGAGAATTTCCCCACAGGGATCAATAAAGCGTCATTATTATTATTATAAAAAGTCATGTATATAGGTAACAAGGGACAAGACTGCCAAACTCCACTCTGGACCACTTGATTAAATTTTATTCATCCCACCCCACCCCTAGTCTTTTTTTTTTTGATGCAGTGGACCTTGGATTTGTGCTGCTGATAGAATCTGGCCCTTCAGGAAGAGTAGTTGGGGATTCACTGCAATAGATGTTCGCGACATCATGTGAAAATAACTTCATTTTTTTCTGCAAAGCAAACTCGGTTGATTTTAATGAAGAAATGAAGAAAATACTAAAAAAAAAAACACTTCACATTCGGTCCAAAATAAATTACTCGAGTGATCTGCAGCAGACGTGTTTGTCCTCCGTGGAAACACTGCACTGAGATGGTTGTAATCTGTAATCTCTGTTACCTGCAGTATAATCCATAACTTTTGGTGTCTCTCTGAACACTCCTTGCTTATTCTTGGGCTTGCTGATGCCTATATGTTCCCGAGGGACGGGGCACTCTGGGGAATATGGCCCTCAGCGTTCTTCTTGGATGTGTTCCATGCCTGGCTTTGCTCAGAGTCTTCATTCCTCATGGCCCAATCTTGCTGAGGTTTACAGCCTTGTTTCTGGCTTTACCCATTTCAGCCTGGTGCTTGAGTCCTTTCAGCCTCCTTAGCGGCCTGCCTCATAGTCAGTGGTTCCAGTCCTGCCAGCTCTGTGTACCTGGATGCCTGCCTGCTGAACAGAGAAGGACTGGCAGACAGAGGATTTGCCCATGTGGGTGTGCGTTGGTTGGGGTATGACCTTTTGTCAGTATCACTCTACCTTGCTCTGTACCTTGTAAATATATTCTTTAACTCTGTCCTGCTGCTGTGACACAAGTCTGTTAACATTTATGTTTTGCTATAAGTATGTGCTCTGGGTTTCTACCACAGTTCAAATGCATAGTCTAATCAAATTGGTGTCTCAAAGCTGCAATTGCTTTCTGTTTGTATCCCAGCTTTTCACTCTGATGCATCCTGCCATGATTACAGTGCTTCTTGGGGTAGGATCAAGGCCTGCTATGGTCCTGCACTAGATGATCATCTATGGCAGGGGTGGCCAATCTTATCCGCAAAGGGCCGGTGTGTATGCGGGTTTTCGCTGCAACTCCCTAATTAGATTACTAATTAGAGGACTGATTGACTGAAGAGTCCTCACACCTGCAGGTTTGAACAGCTGACCTAAAGGTTATCCCAAAAACCTGCATACACACCGGCCCTTTGCAGATAAGATTGGGCACCCCTGATCTATGGAGTATGGGTATTAATGTGATAAAGCTATAGGAATATATCTACACGTTTGTGAGCACTGTTCTGATTCGGTTATACTTTCTATGAATGCCATGTGTAGAAGAATCTATGAACACATGGATATAAACATTTATAAAAAGGCATAGCATAGTCATGTTTATTATGCATTATGAATGATTTATGAAGCTCTCATCTGTAATGTACTACCGCGACCTTCATTATGCAGTACAAAACATCCTTAATTCTTTTACTGAGCATTATAATGCATTATGAAGGTATCTGTATTGCATTATAGATGAGAGCTTTATTTGAGCTTATGAATATTATAATCGACACTATAATGCCTTATGACTGTCAATAGAAGATGCTGTAATGCTTAATGAATTCTTATACCAACCATTATGATGCATTATGAAGGTATCTATAGTGCATTATAGATGTGAGCTTCAAGTAAAGTGTTACCTCTGATCCTGTTTGTAGTTGCCATTACTCTTTCTTTAATTATGTGTTTTTCAGTTTTGCAACTCTGGACCCAACTCTTTCTTTACCAACCAGTTCAAGCTCATAAACTGGTTGTGGGTTATTGATGAACAGAAAAGCCAATCGTTGCCGTAGACCGTCAATCTGATTTGAGTCCAGTCTGTGACTCAGCCTCTGCTGGGCCCTGGACTCACCCTAATGAACATTTTTCTATGTCCTTCAGTCTTCATCCCGCCAAAAGCTTGCTATCCTTCCTAGTCCTTCATTTGCAAACTGAAGCATGTTTACCCCAGTGAAATGCCTGTATATTTAGCTTATCCTGTTTGCCCTCTACCCTGATGAGCTGATGAAAATAATTTCTGTGCTGTCATCAGCTGCTTCACAGTAGGGCTGGTGTTGCCTGGGTGATTTGCTGGATCTGTGCCAGATGTAAAAATTTTTGCCATGATCCGTTGCATTAAAAAATCCATCCATCTATCCATTTTCTGCTCCATATCCAGAGTCGGATCGCGGGGGCAGCAGTCTAAGCAGGGATGCCCAGACCTCCCTCTCCCCAGACACCTCCCCCAGCACCACCGGGGGAATACCAAGGCGTTCCCAGCCGAGAGATATAATCTCCCCAGCGTGTTCTGGGTCTTTCCCGGGGCCTCCTCCCAGTTGGACATGCCTGAAACACCTCCCCAGGGAGGAGTCCGGGAGGCATCCTATATAGACACCTGAACCACCTCAGCTGGCTCCTTTTGATGCGGAGGAGCAGCGGCTCTCCTTTGAGCCCCTCCTGAATGTCTGAGCTTCCTCACCCTGTCTATAAGGCTGAGCCCAGACACCCTGCGAAGGAAACTCATTTCATTCGCTTGCATCCATGATCTCATTCTTTCGGTCATTACCCAGAGCTCATGACCATAGGTGAGGGTTGGAGCGTAGATCCACTGATAAATGGATAGCTTTGCCTTCTGGCTCAGCTCTCCGTTTACCACAGTGTTTGGTCTATTCCTGTCCTCATAACACAGCAGACAATGGAGTTTATGCAGTACTGCCTTGGGGCACCTATAGCAGATGTGCTTCCACTCAAAAAGGCCTCAAAGTTTAAGCATCCAGTTAACATTCTAATCCTTTTTCCCTTCACAATAAATATCAGGATTATTATTTTGTTTGTAAGTTTCAGTACTTAGATTTTGAACAAGATTCATTCAATGTAAGATACTTCGCTTTATACTGTACGTTACATATTTTACATGGTATTAGTGTCATTTTTGTTACAATTATACAAGTTATTGTCCACTTTATTAAAAACTTTTAGCCACCTGCCTTCAGAGGCAAATACTGAACGCTGATTATTTAAATGTGGAAAGATTGTTTCCCTACTTTTGCATGTCTTAATTAGCATATTGCTTATCACCATGGAAACCAGCAAAAGTGCAAATTAGGGAGCTGACCTTTTCTCCATTTAATCAAATATGGAAAGACAAAGATTACATTGCGTAATACAGACATAGAAAGGTATAATCACGGTAAGGCTCCAGCTCACTTTAACCATGTAATATCTGTCACAAAAGTATCAGTAATATGTATAATTACACTTCATCCTCAGATTTATGTAGCTGTTGAATAAAATGTTAACAATGTAGGGAGATGTCACTTGTTACTTTACAGCGCTGGCAGTCTACCTGTGGGAGGGGCGGTCTTCCTCTTTCAGTCGCTATAGGTTACCCTCAGTCTGTCAGCTCCATTTTCACATGTCTATTGTGTTAGTACGCCCATGAAAGGTCCGCGATTTAGACTATAGCAGACTTTCAAGTAAGTAAATCTTTTTCTTTTTTCAATAATATATTTATTAAATATAATATATATTATAAAGTCAAAATAAAAATGCATTTGAAGAAATTCTGATCTGCATATCATCAAACATTTCAGTTTTTCCGGTCCTTTTCCAATTTTATAATCAATAACCATGTTAATATTCTGCTTCCCCGCTCTCCTGTCAGTATTTTCACAGCAAGGCGTGTAAGCCGAAGATACAGTAATCCTCAACAATGGATAAATTTAGAATAATGTTTCAGTTTTTGCAATCCAACCAAGAATCCTTCATGAATGGTATATGTGGTATCATGGTTCTTGCCAGTGCGCAACTCTACTCAGCCTTTGAATTCAGTTGTCCCTGTTTACCAGAATACAACTTTGCGTACGGAATCGGAATACTGGTTGTTCCGCCGATTTGGTTTTTCTTGCTTGGGTTTGTGCTAAATAATAACGTGTCCATGCTGGCGGAGGAGTGGCGACGACCGATGGGAAAACGGAGAAAAGACCCCACGGTACTGCGGTACATGTTCTGCTCCATCACGCAGCGGTCTTTGATAGCGCCCGCGGTCTGGATATCTGTGACGCTGATGGACGGGAAAAGTTTCCTGTGTGCCTTCAGCATCAACTTGGACGTGCAGAAGTTTGGAAATAAGAGCGATCACGGGCTTTCGGATGCCGCGCTCGAAAGGTTACTTGCTAAGATTCCCTGCAAACACATCTTTGATGGGGACGCAGTGGTATCGCGGGAGGCGGCTTCCAGGTATATTCGATGTATATCACAGGTAAGTCTGTTACAGGTAAGTCTGTTACATGTAAGCCTGTGAAGAAAATGCATAAACAAGGAGTGATGTTTACTCAAGCACCTTTCGCAGAGTGATTACAGGGGGGTCTGTGATCTATCGAAGGCTCGGGAGAAGTAGATCATTTCCATACTGTACTTATCTTGCAGGCGTTTGGCTGGGCTTTTCTGCTAATGATGACTTCGATGGCATTCTTGGTGAGGGCGATCAGACCTTGTTTCACACAAGCCGCTTTTCTTAAAACCAAGTACTGGTCGCACTACATCGACATCGAGCGCAAGCTGTTTGACGAGACGTGCACGGAGCACGCGAAGGCGTTCGCCAAGATCTGCATACAGCAGTACTTCGAGAGCGTCAGCGGCGAGATGCACACCTTCCACGGACAGCCTCCCGATCGAGACGAGGAGGACAAGCCGAAGAGCGACGAGGACAGACTTCTGGGCATCCGAGTCGAGGGCGATATGAACAAAGTCCTCTGGAACTGGCACAGCTGCAAACCATCGCTCAACCTGAAAAAGGACCCGCCTCGGTATGAAGAAGCCAACGGACACTTGGACACTTTCGTGAACGGTCATACACACCAACCTGAAACCCAGTCAAAGAAAGAGTGGGCGACCTACTATAGTAATATTTAAACAACTTAACAAAAAACATCCAAATATAATATATAAAAATCCACCTTGACAGAAGAAAATGTTTATTTTGTGGTACTGTGCAAAAGTCTTTTGCAGTCAAAAGAAATGTTTAAAGCTATTTATCTAAGTAGAAAGTTCACTTTCGCTCAGAACAAATAAAACACAATTTAACCTTAGAACATATGCAAATCAAGAGGAACAATAAAAACTAGTAAGAAATTCTTCTGTTCTCCAAAAACTTACTGATACCTTGCTGGATGGCTAGATGAACACCACTTCAGCTCCCAAACCTCTCCTCAGGTGCACCTCAGTTATTCCATGTTTTCATTAAATTTCACCAACACCTTATTTAATTCATTTGTTTAATTAGTTAAGAAAAGTCAATGAGGTATTGATTAGCTAGTGTGCTAGTGGTTTACTCAAAAAACACATGGGTGTATGGATGGTTGTAGCAAATACTGGAGTGATATTTGCAGACATTCTGAATTGGCTAAGCTGACACACTTTGACAAACATAACATCATAGTTTTACACCAACATGAAGATCATTTAAATATCATTTTCTTTGGCTGCCTAAGACTTTTGCATAGTACTATATATCTAAGATATATTTTGCCATTGAAATATGTGGATTATTTTTGTTACTTTACTGTAGTATTAAATAAAAATACCAAAGCTTCAAGTGGTTAGTCTCTTTGTAGATGATTTCATTTGCCAATTCAGTTTGACCCTTTAGACTCAAGTTGAAGTTACTTCAAGATCTGACTGTGGTCTTTACTCCATTTAGAAGTGTTAAACCTAAAATTCTTCTTTGTTTGGCATTTTATACATTTTACTTATACGGTGCAAACAATGAGGGTTATTTTAGGAAAGAATTAAACTAAGATATAACTTGTCTCATATATATGTATGATGAACAGCTGCATGTTTGTTTTTGGTGACATGTAAAGAGAATGCAAATATAAGCAACATCTTAAAAAATCTGAGAGCTGGAAAACGTCAGGTCGTCGTTTGCATTTTGTTTTCATTGTTTGTAGTTCTGGCGCATATGCAAATGTGCCGAATAACAAAGTAATTTTTAAAATTCCATGAGAGTCCATAAGGGAGACTCAGCTTATAGTGTTAGATGTGTTCATTACTTTTTTTACATTTTGTGCTAATTCTGGTAACACTCCTGAAAGCTTTGATATCATTTGAACCTCTCCCCCTACAATGTAAATCTGTATGTGATCAGATCTGACGTCATTTTACATTTTAAAACTAATTTCCAAGCACCAAAAACAGATATGCTCTTGACTTATTTAACGTGGATGCTGGATTCCACAGGAGGACCCACATCACCTCCAGGTCACCTGACCTGGTCATCCTCATGGTCCATCTCGTCTCAAAGCATGAAGCTTGTGTGGAAGCTGATGCCACAATTTCCTTTAAAGTGTTGACTGGCCATTTAATGATTTATGGGGTGATTTTCCCGACAACTTCTTAACGCTACACCATTTTCATGTTCTATCTTTTAACATAGAACTTACGAATGGGAAACTCATCCATGACAGCCATCACCCGGGCTGGGGGGGGGGGGGGGGCAGTGATTCTTCAGTAAGTTGCTGTGTTATAATGTTACTATATGCTGCATATTCTGTTATTCACATCTGTAGCGGAACATGTGACCCGCGTTCATGTTAATTATATTTTCAGATAATATGACATATCTCACTGAATTATTAATATTTTTCCCCCAGAGAGATATTACTCATGCAAAACCGAATACCAGTAGGTGTTAATTATCCATTAAAGGTATATTCCAAGATATCATGTTTTTACAGCTCAGGTAAAGTATCAACATACTTATAATCTCCCAGTAAGATGATGTGTTCTGAAGTGGTGAAACATTATTCAGAGTTTTAATATTAATTATTGTTGGTTCCCTGTTATCTATGAAAGACCTGAAGTAAATAACGCATTAATGTGATATCTGAGATGACTTCAGTCATAATCAGCCTCCATGTGTGTTCTACACTTGATTTTCAGTTGCGTCAAAGTTGTGCATGACCTTTAGATCCAGAAAGAGTTTAATTATCTTATTAAAAACTGGGGTTGAACATTATAGTTGATACCAATGCATAGCTCAGGATATTTATTATTATTGTTGATACTTTCATTAATCCCCATAGGGAAATTGTCTTTTTTTTAATCTTCTTCAACTTGCTCTTTGTGGAGTAAGCTGTCCGCAAAGGGCAGCCACCCATAGCGGTGCCCAAGGAGCTGGGAGTTAAGGGTCTTGCTCAAAGAGCCACAGGCGTGCCAAGGCTGGGTTTGAACCCACAACCTTGTGATTACAGGCATACAGGCTTAGCTCACTGAGCCACACGTTTTTTTATTTATTATTATTATTATTATTATTATTATTATTATTATTATTATTATTATTATTATTATTANTTATTATTATTATTATTATTATTATTATTATTATTATTATTATTATTATTATTATTATTATTATTATTATTATTATTATTATTATTATTATTACTACTACTACTACTACTACTACTACTACTACTACTAGTATATTATTATATAATAATAATATTATAATTATTCTGGGATATCCCCATGGCTATCACCTATGTCAGGCGAAGGCCTAGACAGCAGGACAGGTTTATAAACGTGAAAGGAATTTCCTGACGTTGTGCCATATGTTTATTATTGTTGCTTTTTGTAGTGTAATGTATGTGTTTGGGTGTAAATGTTTTGTAGGTTTTCATGTAGTGCATGTGGGATGATACCTGTGCAGGAATTAACAATATGGACAATGATCATCGCATTTTCCAGAGGTGATGAATTTTATGTGCCACATCTGTGTATTTGCGTATTTTATCCATTTGTGTCTTTTGTCGGTTGTGTGTGTCTGGTATGACGATGTCTATAATACAAGTGGTTTTGTTCTTTATCATCATCATCATCATCATCAGTAAGAACGATCTTTAATTTATGACACTGAGAAGAAAAGGTCCAGCAGACCATGAAAATCACCTTGAAGTGTGGTCTGAAAATGTATGGATGAATGGTTGGATTTGTTTAGTCTGCTGCTTAAATATGTAAAATAACATGCAGTCTATGGTCCATGTACAATAGAACTTTATATTTGCCAACCCATTAGAGTGAGGTTGGAATGTATAACACACAATGTTTAACTCAAGCTTTTATAATACTTAAATATGGGTCGTATAAATATAGGGTAGAGCGTTTGACAGATAATACAGGGGCAGTGTGTGGCTCTGTGGGTAAGGTATCTGTACCTGGAGACAACAGAATAGTTGTATCACCACCGAGCCCTTGAACAAGGACCTTATGTCCACCTTCCCCAGGGGCACTGGTCTCTGGTAAGACCCTGTGCTCTGACTTCAGATTTGCTCTCAACAGTATATATGGGTGTCTGATAATGGAGAGCTAGTGTATGTGAAAACGTAAGAATGTACAAATGCAGGCACTGTACGAACAGCGTGTGAAAAGAAACCTTGATGTAAATATGGATCGCAGCAAAGCATTAACTTCCATACTTTGGTCACTAGGGGGTGCATTTGCTTGAGAAAATTATTTTGCTTGTTTTCCAGGACAGCGTCAAATAAACATGGCATTAGTTTTAAAAGGTAACCTAAGCATTCAAAGAGTGCAAGTAATATCATTAATTAAAAAGGCTCAAAAAACCTCAAAGAACAGTTTTAAAGATACCAAAGCAGTCAACACGAATTATTATAGGTAACGTACAGTCCAGCCACAGTAGTTCTTTCGGTCATGTTCGTGTTGCTGGGACGTGATACTTTAATAGTCAGCGGAGAATCTTGAGGAATATAGTCATATTGAAATTAGGTCATATTATTTTATTACTTTAATTGTAGTACGCAGGATTATGTTCAGTATAAATCATTGAGTTATTTTTTATTTCCAATCTGTTTACTTAGTGCTGTGTTGCACAGAAGATAAAGAATAAACGGAATCACACAAAAGTGCCCCGACTCTGGTGTCTGGGAAACACATTCAGTGGAAAGCCAGCAGCTGCTGTCTGTGAAGCTGGCAGGTTTTCTTCTGTGGGGGTGGTGGACGTCTTTGTCTCAAGCCTTGGTTCCCCATCTCAGCTTGTGCTCCTTCATGGACCGTAATACTCATACGCCATTGAGATCGTCGTGACCCTGTCGTGAAAAAGATTCCTGTCACGACCGACCCGTGGCTGCTCCGTCATTCATTTCCCGCAGAAACGCTCGCTGCTCTCGGGAAGCCGACCCTCCCTCTCTCTTGTTTTGTGTGTCGGGGCAGTGATGCACACAGGGTGGGCCTTGCGCACTTGTGACAGCTGCAGAGACGCCAGCACACGCAAACACACACACACACATTCCGTTTGCGGAAACCTTAGCAAAGCCCGCCTGCCTGCTCCTGCTGTCACTGCCGGGAGGGGTATGAGAGTGCGGGGGGGGGGGAGAGAGACACAGAGAGAGAGAGGAAGAAAGGAGAAGGGGAGGGAGGGGAAAGGAGAAGGGGAGGGAGGGGAAAGGAGAGCCGTGATGCAGACGGCAAATCACATGAGCTGGGATCTGTTTACAAACTGAGCAGCACTCCGCTCCATGATGAGGAACCTCGGCTGAAGAACTGCCGATCCAGCGGAGGCGTCCGTTACAGGAGCTGGGCGGACGCTGGACATTTTTTCGCAGTTTCTCTCCATTCCGCCGTACGTGTTTACCCCACAATTTCGGAGCAGATGGTGATTACAGCGGAGGGGGAAAACATCCAATTAAATGGTCACAGCCCGAGGACTAGTCTCAGTGATATGAATTAACAGGAATCTGATATCGTATAACCTTTTGTTTTGCTGTTTGGGAAAGAAACACCTGTTTTTCGGCAAGCGAGGAATGCACGTGTGAAAATACAGATAAGACGAAGATCTGCAAGCAGCTGAGGAGGTAGTCAAGGGTGAGGCTTGTAAAAATATTTTAATGGAAGACAAAGCAGTTACTATATCTGGGGTGTTGTTTAAGAAGCTCGTTAAACCAGGAATGCTTTCAGTTTCCCTTATGAGTGTAAATACCGGAGAAGGAATTATCATTGTCTGTATCTAAAAGGACAGAGTTGTTTTAAATTCTTAAATGCAAATGTCCCGTGAACTTTAAACCTGTGAGCGTATGTTCCTGTCGGCGAGGTTTTGTGAGACCCTCCTGCTCCCCACATTCTCGTTCTTCTCCCTTTATTGGCCAAGAAGATAAACAAAGGAAGCAAAACACCATTTTGATGACAGCTCTCCTGTTAGACGCATCAGATCGTCCTCGTAACTTCTTTTGTTTAAATTAAAAGCGAGCAGCTTCTTCATCCTGTGACATGTCACGCAGCCGCGGGAATTAGAGAAGCTCTAAATAATGTACATTTTTTTTTCGATCGTCAGCGCCAGGGAATAACCAAGTTCGGAGCTGCGGCGCATGAGGTGTTAACCGCAAAACTCCGGGATTGGCTGCTCCCCGTCATCCACAGTGGGCAGTCCGGACGGAGCCCAGAAAGCCGTCTAGCAGCCCGCTGGCTCAGCCTCCGCTCCAGCCCAGTCCTCCTCTCCCCCCCCCACCGCCCCGTCCCTCGGGAGACGGTCACTGGTCTCCTTCTGCTGAATTTACTGTTGCTTTGGAGTCAGATTTCATGCACCTGCTCCAGTGGTGTAATGGTGAGTAAAATAAATAAATAAATCGGATGAAGCGGACCGACAACAACCCAGAAGAGCCGATTCGGGTTGGTTTGCGCCTCTACTGTCGTGCTGAAAGGAGCGTCTGATTTCTGCTGGTTACTAATAACGAGTGATTCACTGGCATCCTCCTATCATAATGCGCCCGCCCCCACACCCTGCTCCCAGGAATATGCCCCCTTGGCAACAGACGGCACCGACACAATCATTTCAAATTAGGTTACAGGGGATCGCAGGGCTTTTTCATATTAAGAAGTTCTCATCGCACGGACCTGCAGTAAGGCAACCCCTCTCGCCATTGTCTACGCCAATGGCGCATCTTCTCCGGAGCGGCGGCGTTGAATTGAGCAGCGAGGTCAGGGGGAGCCCCCCGCCTCCCTCCCTTACCGAATTTGTCGGAGCAGATGGCAGCACAGTGGAAGTGAAGCTGCAGTCACGTGTGTTTATTTTGTCCGCGGCCGATTGCGTCGGTCTCTTTGAGGGGCCGAGTGCGGCGCGGCTTCCATATGCTATAGATCATCCGCAAATATTTGCCCGCGGCTCCCTTATCGATAATGCCACCAAAGCTAAGTATTAAAATAATGTATCCATATTACCTGTCAAGACATTTCCTTTTTGGGGGGGCGTATATAAAGATCCTCAGCTCTAATTAAACGGAAAGAAATTATGTCAATTTTTTGGATCCATTTTATATAATTTTACTCAATATTCTAGAGTCTAAGAATGTTGCAGTATTGCTAAGATCAATATTACATGCAGGCCTGAACAAGGATGAAATATTGCAATAAAATAAATTATTGTTCTAAGTGTAATACCTTTTATCAGTAGGTTATTGCAGTGTGGAATGGCTTTTATTTTTATTGTTGCTAGCAGAGCGGTTTAGCACGTCACGTGTGAAGTATTAGCACATTAATGCTCACTGTGTAAATACAGCGTTAAGTGTAGGAGAACGCTGAACAAACACAGCCTGCTAAGGCTGGTTCTATAGCAGGATGCTGACACTTACAAAACATATAGTCAATAATATATAGTCAACGTGCAGTGATACAGAAATACACAAATACCTGTTTGTTGATATGACGTACTGCAAAACAAGGTTTCAGGTGGATAAGGAGGGGACATTGAAAGCCAAGCAAAATGCTGCAATAGAACTCATGCCACACATAATCTTGGTCAGGATAAGGACAAAGGCTAGTGGATTTTAGTACAGTACTCTGGGTATTTGTGTAATGCTGTGATGTCAAAAAATCCTTTAAGATATAGCATCCAATTGAAGATTTATATATATACGTGTTACTGCAATCTTACTGCATATAACATTTTCAGTTACTTTACCTTTTTCTTTGTGGACTCCACTGAAAATATTATATGAGAGCTTTTTTTCTCATTTTTCTTTTCTATGTTTCAGATCAAACGATGATATTTTAATATACAAAATAAGGTGCCAGTCCTGTAGTAGAAATAGAGTAGAGCAGTGCTAAAGCAATTAGAGCGATGTGTTGGTATGGGTACAGCTCAAGGAGGGCGCTGCGGTATCACTGCACAGTACGAGATTACAGATCAGTGACACGCAGCTCAGCGAGCGCCAGTGGCACACTGGGGTCTCAGCACGCCCTTAAAAGGAAATAATCGGCTTGATACAGCGCGTAACGCCGCCACCGCTCATATGTAGCTAACGCAACAAGGACAGAACGTCGTGAAATTCCCCTAAACACGCAGGCTTTTGCGTAGCTGAGCAACTATCCGCAGGGCTACGTTAATCACTAAGTGAAGACGGGCTGAAGGGAAAAGATACATCAGATTCAGAAAAGACACTATGACCTCACTGCTTCATTGGTCGGAGAATGTCAGGGCAGGCGAGAGAGGGGTCAAAGGTCACCATGTACAGATTTCCTTTGTATTGATGATCTCATCAAAGAACAAACGTCAGGAAACAAAACATGGAAATGAACCTTGACCGTCACTCGAATAAACTCCAGCACCAAAGCACGGGCTTTTTCTGTCGAGTTAATTTTCCCAGTGATTATACCTTTAACGGTTTACTCTTTATATACTCTCTCCCTTTCAAACGACGGTTTAGATGTGTGTACCCTCCTAGCCTGAAGGCTTCCGTTTTGTTTTGTGTACATCCCGACCAGGACAGAACAAAGGATCTCAGTGATTATTGGGCCGTTAAAATTTCTTGCTTAAAAAAAGCCATTGCTCGTGTAATAGGGTTATGGTGATAATGAACTTACCCTAACCTCTTTCTAAGACCTGTTTCCATTTCTGTGAAGTGATTATATTACTTAAATAAAAATATATGTGCCAAGTAATTTTATTCACATCTTGTCATGACGTGTTGGGTGTCATAGGGGGTGTGTATTTAACCTTATTCATCTGGCCTGTTACTACTTGAGCTGTCAAGCTGTCACCGTCCCCGATTGATGGTGCTGGTTATTGAAACGTGCCGTTTGATTTTCGGCCAGATCGGGCTTTTTCCGTCGCTACCAGGCATTTGCGCGTGGCACCCTGGAATAAAACAGCGAGGGATTCTCAAAATTGTTCACGCCCTGTGGTGCCAAAACTCATGTATCTGTGTGGCACACACCTTACAAGCCTGTGCTGTTTAGCGATGTAGTTAATAGTACAGACTCACAAGGTCACCAGGAGTGGCTGCTCAGTATCATCAGTGCGCGATTGTGACTAAAAGTACGCGTTTGTCTACATGAAAGTGTGAAGTTGAACGCATGGAAATCTGTGTTAGCTTGGCACTGAAGTAACCTGACCTGTTTTGAAAAGATGGACTGATTTAGCCCACAGGGTGCCTGATCTCGGCTGGTTGGAAACATACACTCAGCCCGATTTTACCCTGTACTCCCAGGATGCCTGTGCAGTTTAGGATTAAAGACTTCGTTCAAGTCCTGTGACATGATGTCGGAAGATATCTACCACCTCCCCCTCAACGTTTACATCATCGTGCTGGGCATCGGCCTCTTCATCTTCATGCTGAGCATGATTTTCTGCTGTTATCTGTTCAGGTACGACCCAACGACACAACCTCACAGAGTCATTTGGGGGGCAGGAAGTGTTTACCGTGGCTAAAAAAGCTAAATCCAGCTTGTTGTTAACAGAGGCCTTTCAAGGTGGATGTTTGACAGCAATAATTAAGTACATTGACTCCAATTGGTCTGCTTTGAGTACATTGTACATTAGCAGCAAACAGCTCATTTTGTAAGTTAACGAAAACCTCAAACATCATTGGGAAATGATCTTTTTGAAGGCTTGAGGATCCTTCTTTCTGATAAGTACCTCACTCATATAGTACCATCAGCTGGGTAAAATAGCTGGTGCTTTTTATTGAAATACACACTCATTTAACACATTTTCGCATACCGCTAATAATTCTTTCCCTCAGAACTTTAGATTATCAGTACTGCCTCTTCTATGACAGAGAGTAGGAATGGGTGCATCTCTGGTGGCTAAACTGAATGAAACAATTTCTTCCATTAAAAGCCTGAATGACTACGATTATTTAATTAATAATTCATATACTAAGAGGTCAGCCTGATGCGTACAATCATTCATCTATGTTTTCATTATCGTATTTTGTTCTTGTTTAGAATGTTTGTCCTTCATGGAAGCTACTGATGAATATATTAGAAGTTGATCGCTTTTTTCCTGTTGAAGTACAATTCTTCTATGAATATTACACTAATGTTTACAGTGGCAAAATTGAGCTGAGAGTAGTTGCATTAACTTGTAATGTTAAACTGGGTGTTTAGAAGAAAGAGGGGTAAATTTCCAATTAATTTGAAAGATCCTTAGACCTATGCCTTCAGGGGGTATGGGGGGTGTATTTTGACATTTTACAGTATGTTTCTGTTTCGTTTTCTATTAAAGAAATTCGGTCCACAGTTAAATCTCACTGGTGCCTAGTCAGCCTGATAATTTCACAATAAAAAATAAAGAATTCTTGGTTAATAGTTAATAGTCAGCTGAAGATTTGGGCTACATAGCTGGATTCCTGGTGTTTTGAGGTGTGGCTGTAATCGATGCTGCCTTTCTCCGCAGGTTACGGCGACAAGGAACACGGGAGCAGTACGGTTATAACGAGGTAACGTGATACAGCGCCGGGCGGCCGCAGAGTGCGTAAAACTCAGCCTGGGGGTACAGAAGATGGGTGCCGACACCTTTACAGCTCATCGTTTTCATCACTTGTTCTCTCTCTGAGCCAGAGGTGTCAGGTGTCACGCGGGTAGGGGACCTACCTGGATTTGGGACTGGAATCAAGGATAACAAACAAGTGCATTATAAAGAGCTATGGGTCCCTTTTACTCACAGGCGCATTGTGTAATCCGTATTGATGCCAGGTGACTCGGAAAATGCCTTAATCAGCCGCTGTGCTCAAAAGCCATAGCGGTCTCGCTGAACAATGGAACAACTTGTAGGATATTAATGATTCAAATGAAACGTCATGCAATGCTAATGAACCCAGCTGCTATTTGTCTCAGATGGTGAGATATATATGGGTTTGGGTGTGGAGAACCTCTATCATTAAATCCTCTTCCTACGTGTTGGAGTTTAGCTCTCATTTCGCGACCATTTCTTCAACATCATACCTCCTGTGCGATGAAACGAACAATAAAATTACGCCGCTTTAAATCAACGCTTTGCTTTGTTGCACACAGGTTGCTACTCATTTTTACATATTATCAGAGGTGGAGATTTTGGGTCTAGAAAGTACAAATCCAGACCAAGATTTTATTTCAACCAACCAGCTGAGTACTCTGTGACTGTGACTTTTTATACTCAACTGGTTGGTTGAAATAAAATCTTGGTCTGGACTTTTACCCTCTGGACTTGAAATCTCCACCTCTTCATATTATTAACAAATAATAATATTGCATATAAAAATTTGACTAGACTAGTGGGTAAGAAAACAAAAAGGGGGGGGGGGGGCACAGTGGTTAGCACTGTTGCCTCACACCCCTAGGACCAGGGTTCGAGTATCCACCATGGCTCCATGTGCGTGGAGTTTGCAGGTTCTCCCCATGCTGTTTGGGGGTTTTCCCCTGGTTCTCTGGTTCCCCTCCCCCAACCCCAGTCCCAAAACATGCTGAGGTTAATTAGCATCACCAAATTGTCCTGACTCCAGAAAATGGACAGATGAGAGAAAAACAAAGAACATTAATGATATATTAACCAGGCCTAATAAATGATTGTTAACTTACAAAAAAGGTTTACAGTACAAAATACTGCATGTATTAACAAATTTTTTCCTTCACAGGTGGTTTTAAAGGGAGCTGGGAAAAAACTGAGTCTTCTTGGAGTAAGTTTGTCGTTTCCACATAATTTTCGTGTCATTTTAAAGTGCACACATTAACTTTTATTCATAACATATCTACAGCTTATTCCAAAATAGCTGAGGGTAGGTGAAAATGACGTAAACCCACTAAAATCTGTGACTGAGGCATTTCACAGCTGGTACAGGGAGTCAAGAGGCCCAATGCTTGGAAATGGTCAAGATTATAAACACTTCTCCTGCACATTCACCAGGGGAGTGATTTCCAGTCACTCTGAAGACACTCCTTCCACACAATGTGTGACTAATGCGTGTCCCGCTTCCTGCCATTGCAGCAGACGTGTGCAGTTTGCTTGGAGGAGTTCAGGAGCAGGGACGAACTCGGGGTGTGCCCATGCACGCACGCATTTCACAAGAAGTAAGTCGCGAACGTTTGCAAAAACGGTCTTCATGCGAGCTTTGACTCTCCAGGGAAAGATTTAATGCACCGTGAAGGTATCTTGGAGTCTAGGAGCCCTGCATCCAAAGGAGGTGGTACTTTGATGGGATTCCTTCCTGAGTGGATCTTCTCTGTGTTCCTGGCACAGGTGCCTAGTGAAGTGGCTGGAGATCCGCAGCGTCTGCCCCATGTGCAACAAGCCTATCTGCCGGCTGCAGGCCGATGCCCCCCAGGGCGCTGAGGGACCCCAGGACCCCCAGGAGGTGTGACAGAAGAGGCCGGGGCCCGGAGACCAGCCCACGGACTACGAGCGGGAGCAGGTCCCTGGCTGGGGGAGTCAACATAACCCCCACCCCTCCCACTGCCACCATTAAGAATATTTCCACTCGTCAACACGAGCCTGATATGGAGTCAATGTGCGGCACGTGTCTGACCTTTGACCTTACTACTCGACACTATCTGGAAGCGAGCAACATGCCAGAACAGACGCTGGGGGAAAGCTGAGTGACTGGGACGTGAGCCCCGTGGCATTTGCCGCTCGGGGACAGACTGCGCGCGAGAATAAACATACACCAGCAAGCGACTCTGCCCAGTGCCAACGAAAGGGAACGGACGCCCCCCCATGCAGCGAACGACTCAGTTAAACCCCATAAACGACTACATAGAGTGAGTTAGACTAAGTTGCCTCTTTTTAGTTATTTTGTATTGTTACTTTGTTTCAAATAAAAGTGTAATGTTTTGGTGGTACAAATCAATTTTTACTTTCCACTCCACCCAGTTATTAAGAATGACTGGTTTCTGAATAGCCCCCACTATATACAGATGATGAACGGCAAAAGCCAAAATGCCCTTCCCTTTTATGAGGAGACACCATTCACAAGTTACTTTTGCTCATTTTGAATGGTCATGAATTCCCCTCCCGGGCACTGCATGAATATCTGATCACTTTATATATGATCACATCACAAAACTGACACCAGAAAAACTATGGATGTCTGATCCATCTTCAGTTTATAAATGTTATTAAAGACAACAGTGTATTTCGTGACATTTGGTTTGGTTTTTTCTTTTTCCCCCCCCCCCAAAAAAAAAAAAAGTTTTGCATTAAAAAAAAGTTGATTTTTAACCTTCAATACATTCTTATTCACACGACATAATTTAGCTGAAAAGTACTAATATCACAGATGCTAAGAACTGAAGAAATTTCTTCAAAATGAAGTGTCTTTTCAAGGAAAATCTAATATAATGACAGTCCATGTATTCAGGCTGAAGGATGTGTGGTCCATGCTTCTCTGAAGACAAAGACCGTTCAACAGGAGGCGGGACATTACATCCAAGCAGCCAGTCACAACACAGCCCCAAAGCAGGAAATGGGCACATGCTTGGACAAAACTTGCATGCTGGGAGGAGTCGGGAATCTCATTGGTGAGAGTCGATTTGGGGTGAGGAGTGGTGCTCAGGCGCCCCGTGATGTTCAGGCGCCCCGTGATGTTCAGGCGCCCCGTGATGTTCAGGCGCCCGTCCCTAGCTGGCTGCCTCGGCTCCCTCGGCTCCCTTAGCCTCCACGTACTGCAAGGCTTTCTCCTTCACGGCCTGCACACTCTCTGCCGTCCCGCTCTTCTTTTCATACTCCAGGTACCTCTTGAAAAAGAACTTGATCCTCTTGACTGCCACACTCAGGTGGATCACGCGGTCAAACAGATCCCTGGAAGAAGAAGAAGAAAGGAAAGTGCAGAACATGCTGCCAGTGGACCCTGGAACTGAAACAGTTACTGTCGGAGGTATTTTGCAACACAGCTGACTGTAGGTCCTTTAGTACAGGGTGACTAACAGCCTGCTGGAGAAGCTTTTCCCGTCCAGACTTGCTAAACGATGGCTGATGTATCACTTGGCATGTTCTAGCGCATGAAAGCACACGAACTGCAGGGAAGTCCCTAGAAGTTCACAGACTATTTCATAAAATAAGAAGCCCGGCTTAATAAAAAATGCATGCCTATAGTGATGATTAAGTGAACATAAATTATTACATAAAGGCAGCCATGACTCAACGGATTTAACAAGATGATAGATTAGAATAGCATGTGTGGAGGGGAACCCTGAATATGGCTGAGGTCTGACTGCATGAGCTCCAAGAAAGGTCACGCAAACAGAAGGTCTACAGAGCTACTGCCACGGCTTCCAGGCAGGTGGACAGATGGAGAGCCGCGAAGCCTCCAATCCAAGGCCGTCTTACCGGACTTCCTTCTGGGGGCCGTGCTTGATCATCAGGTCTATGTAGACAGACCAAAGATCCGTGCGCTTGGGGTAGCTCGTCAGGGTTCTGTCAAACATAGACTTAGCCCGGTCCACATCTCCGTGCTGGAACTCCAGCTGAGCAAACTTCACTATCAGGTCCACATCTGAGAAGGAAGAAATCTCAAGCTTCCATTATGCAAGACAGGGAGTCAAATCCTGCGCTCAGTAAGCAGGGAAAGATGAGAACCATAGGAGTATCATTATACCATGTAGCTGACAAACCCACTCAGCCCTGCGACACCTAAAATAAAACTCTTCCAGCTATCAATAATATAGTAACGGGTAATGGCGAGTCTTTAGCCTCTCAGGAAGCACATGGCAAGGAAACAGCATGGGCAGAATGCCAGTCCACTACTGGGAGTATGCAAGTACACACATACAGATGTCGAATTTGAATAATAAATTTAAGCATTAATCAGGTAGTTTTTTTTTTCTGAATAATCTGAATAAATGCACTGAGCAGGATTTGAGACGACACAAACGAAATCTTACGCTCTTTGTCTGGGAGACTCCGGAGCGCCCTCTGGAGGACAGAGTGAGCAGCATCATTCTGACCCTGTCTGAGGAGGAATGTGCCGTAGCTCAGCCACACAGACCTGTCCTGGCGGAAGCGTTTCACCATGTTCTTATACAGCGCCTCGGCCTCCTTTGGGAAACAGGGTGTGGTTTTTGTGTGAGCAGTGACCCAGGAAAATCCTTCCCTCGACTAACACAACCAGGAGGAAATTATGCAGTTTCGCTTAAGTCCTACATTTCCCATAATTCACCTTGTGCTTGTCAGACTTGGCGTAGACGTCGGCCAGCTGCTGGTAGACGGCCAGCGGCTCGCAGTACTGCAGCGCCCTCTCGAACACCTTCTGCAGGCTCTCCTGCGAGCCGTACAGGTTCTCCAGGTTGAGAAGGGCCACCCACACGTTGAGTTTCTCCTGCTCCTCCCTGTAGGGGCGGGTGAAGGACCGTGGAGGTTATGGATGGCAGCGGGGGTGCGCGTAACATCAGACTGAGCAGGGGGGCGGGCGGCTCGGCGGCGCCGACCTGAAGGAGATGGTCTTGAGGGCCCTCTCGCCCACGGCGCGCGCCTGCTCGATCTCCGTGGCCTGGAGATGGAAGGCCATGTACTGCAGCCAGACCAACGAGCTGTTGGGGGAGCTGAGCACCAGCCGCTCGAAGCTGCTCGCCGACTCGGGCCTCAGACTGGGGTCCATCAGCTCGCTCTCCAGCTTGGACAGCACCCTCTCCGCCTGCTGCTTCTCTACCTCCTTGTCCTTACGGCTTTTCTTCTGGGGTTGTAGGTCAACGAGACGCCGAGGGAGATAACGTGGGGGAGGGAGCACAGAGAAGGGGGGGGGGGGGAGTTAGGATGACAGGGGGCCTAAAATATTTGTAACTTAATTTGATTGGTCTGGGTTGGGGGCCCAAAATCTCTACCAGTGGTCCTGGGGTTTAGGGGCCATGGAACCACTTGATGTTCAGATAGAGTACTCCTGTGGCTCAACAAGCAGAGCATTTTGCTACCAACACAAAGGTCGTGGGTTCAAATCCCAGAGACCACACATTAATTATGACCCATCCCTGTACTGTAGGACGCTTTGGATAAAAATGTTGGATAAATGAATCACACAGAATATGGTGGCTGAGATTCAATGGGCCCCTGTTACCTGGGCCTGCTCATCCTCCTCGTCACTGCGGTCGGCCCCCTTCTGGCTGACGGCTGGTCGCAGAGCACTGAGGCCCAGATCCCAGGAGAAGCCACCTGCTACCTGGAGCCTCTGCTGACCCGCCTTGACGGGCTGCAGGGCCTTCTTGGGCTGGGGGGGGGGGGGGGGGGGTGCGAGCAGGGAGAAAGAGAGGTTAAGCTACAGCCAGGCATGAAACAGGGACTTTACAAAACACAGCGTGTTAAAATCTGACCTTTTTTGGGGGAGCCTCTTCCTCTTCCTCATGGAAGTAGGCGTCCACCCCGCTGTCATCCTCCTCCGATTCCCCAGCCGTCTCCGTGGTCCCGATCTTCCCGTGTTTGTGAAGCTCCCCCTACAGGAAAGGGAAAGAGGTGACATGGTGACAATCGGGGATCGCGCCTGGGACATGAAGCTGAGGACGGGCACACAGAGGGCACACGATGCCCCTCACCGGCAGCCTCTTTCGCTTCTTTGAATCTTTTGTTTTGTTTTCCTGCCCTCTCTCTCTCAGCGGAAGAGCAAGGGATTCTGGGAGAATGTCTGGTTTTCCGGTGTCTTCTGGCAGCAGAGAAAGTTCAACCTGACCTTCTTTTTTGTTGACTCTACAAAACCAAAAGTACAACATTTATAACAACAACAATAATAATACCACCAGGAACACTGTACTAATGATACAAAGTATATCTGGTAGATAACATTAGTAGATAATACAAAAATGCAGAAGTCATATGATGATAAAAAAAAAACAGCTTGTTTGTTTGTGACTGATGTTCCTGTGTACACGAGCTGCAAATCTGACCTTACCTGAGCACCTTGGTGGTGTACAGGGCATGTAGAGGTATGTGCTTGGCAAATATATCCTTATCGGTCACATGATAGCTAGTCACATGCTCAAATCTGGCCAGTCCTGTGATCGTCCTGGATAACCTGCACAAAACAATCTGAATGTTACATATGGTAACAAAAAAAAAACTAAATCAATTGATCCACCGTCCGCCAACTCTCTATCGTTCCCACATTAAGTGTCGAGCTGAATAAAACAACAACATAAAAAAATAGCGGCAGGAATGACAGATGGGCTGGCAGGCGATGTCTGCTCGCGCCGGTGTGTGGCTCAGAAAGCAGAGGCACCAACGCGGCCTATGAACAATGAGCGGCTGCCCACGGTTTTCTTCAGTCGTATCTGGGTGCAGATTCCCTCCAAGTCTCACTTTCCTTTCACACGTCGAGAAATACACCATCTTTATTTAGACCACTTAAGATCATGCCATTCCAAAGCTCTCCCCCACCAAAAAGGGCCAGTTCTTTTCACTTTGTTGTAGAGTACAGGGTTATAACTGCCTTGTTATATAGCAGTTATCTTTTTGTGAATTATAATCTATAATCTATAAAAGACGAACCTTATGAAGACACCCTGGGCTCCAACATGCTTGACGTAACCGCGGACAAGCCTGCCTCTCTTAAGGTCCCCGATAGATGAGATCTCTGGATCTTTCACAGGAACTGTGGTTTCAGGCTCCATCCTACAGAACACAGAACAGTATCAACACCGAGAGCCTTCACATCTCCTGGTTTCCGGGCACACTGACCAGGCGCATCCACTAATTCACGCGTTATCTGCTTAAGCGAGACCAAACTTTAAAGGCAACATAAGGCAACCCTGCATTCTGCAAAGCTTGCGGCTTTATTCTGAATACACACGGTCATATTCAATACCTGGATGCACGGAGAGACAGCTGCAAATGGTCAGGCTCCTCTCCGACGACGCAGCACCTGGGAATCCCAAACAACATGCCCGCGTCAGTGTCCAGGAAGGAAACAGGAAGCGATTCCTGCCATCAGCTGCCTTCCTGCATCCAGGAAGCTGAGGACTAAGGGCGTAAGAATGACATCCGGGGATTTTTACTGTTGCCTGTACTTCTGTGCTTAGCATTGGTATTGGTTGGCGATGGAAGATGACGTAATTGGGGTATGCAAGAACAGAAGTCCAGGCTACTACACATACTGAGAAACACCCTAAGGCTCTGAAGAGGAAGTGGGCGGGGCAGCACTGACCTGACGATTTTGCCGACCC